TACCCCAAAGGCTTGCTTCAAATGACTCACCTCCTTCAACCACACCCTACCAGCCTAGAGTTACTATTCAATTAACCCCTACCAAGAGATTAATTCACTGATTGGGTTAAGGCTTTCATAATGCAATTAGTTCACCTGTAAAACTTCTTACATTGTCTTACAACATGAGCCTTTAAAGGACACCTAATATCCAAATCAAAACATCAGCTAACATGTGTTTTTTTTTTCTTTCTCCCAACTCTTTCCTTTTTCAAATTAGTGTTCACAGTTGTCTCTGCCATGTCATAAAATTCTATCCCAATTTGATTAAAAATTAAACTGATCATGTCATATTCTGCTACCTCTGCTAAAACAATGATGATATCCTGTATTCATAGGATGAAATTCTATTTTTCTTAGCAAGCCAGACAAGAATTTACATGTTCAGAACACTGCTTATCTCTCCAGTCTCATCTTTAAGTAATTAGCTATATATACAATTACAATAGATTACTTCAACAAAAATCACACTTCTACCAGTCTGTTTCAAACAGCAAACTTAATAAAATAGCAAGATGAAAGGACAGAAAATAATGAAATATACATATAATTTGATTTTATTTTTGTTTTGGACAGATGCTATGAAAAAATAAGAGAAAAAAACCATAGTAAGAAACTTTGATGTACGAATTGTCTGTATCAGTGAATAGCATCAAAAAAAAAAAAAAAAAGCAAATTCTGGAATACAGGAATAAAGCACTGGGTGATGGAATTAATTGAGATGACAATATTTCTAAAAGAAGCACAAGCAATGTCCCTCCTGCATTTGTAAGGAAAAGGGGCCTTTCTCCTCATGGCTCCCTGAAATGACACCATTGCTACAGTTGCATGTAAGCAAGTAAGGCCAGATGACATTACCACAGTGACTTTTAGTCAATGAGCTGTCACCAGGCATAAGGACCTGTGTGTCTAAGTTTGTAATGTTGAGCCTCTGCGTGTGTATTGAATTTATAGCTAGAAGAAAATATTTTTGGCTTGTTTGTTGTACAAATCCAATAAAATAATATTCATAAACTTCCAAAACTTGTTAAAAAAATGATACAAATTTGCATAAGCTAGCAATGTGACCAAGTCATTATTCTTATCATTTTTTTTGTATTTAATTAGCTCCTTCAACAGAGAACTATAAGATATTGCATATTTCTGATATTATGGATAAAGTTAAATTAACAATTTTGCCAGTCTTTCTTCACAGTGAAGTGACAGCAATTTCATTGCCAAGGTAGATATAGTAGTATAAAGTATGAAAACATGATTTCTTTGGGTGCAGGATGTTAGTCGGTTTTCTGTCACTGTAGCAAAACATCTGAAATAAATTAACTTATAAAAAGAATAGATATATTTTTGCTTCACAGTTTTTGGGGGTTCCAGTTCATGATTGATTGGTCTTATTACTTTGGGCCTGTGGGAAGGCAGTTCATAATAGAAGTCTATGGCCGAGAAAAACATCTCAACTCATGGCCAGGAAACAATAGAACAAAAAAGGAAGAGACCAGGGTCCCACAATACTGTTCAAGGCCATGCCTTTAACAAAGAAAAGACCACACACAAGGATGTACCTCTTCATTATACCACCTCCCTATGTGACCATCCCAGAGACCAAGCCTTTAACACATGGACCTTGAGGAACATTTGACCTCCAAACCACAGCAACTGGTTTTCCAAAATATTTCCAGACATCTTTTGACATATATAGCCTCATGCATTTTAAGAAATAAAGAATAAAATAATTATGTGCATAATGAATTATAATTTTAATATAAATTATATTATATTTATAATTCCTATATTAATATAGGAATATAAAGAAGAAAACAGCTTCCTGAAACAAGTTAAGATTGCTTCACTAGGAATTTATTGAATTAATTTATAATTCAGAGAGTATTTCTAGGCATAATAGAAATCTACAGGGAATTTTTGGAAAATCTGCAATAAATTATGCTTATACTAGAGAAATTTAATTAGAGATTTTATCTAAAATCTATTGGAGTTTTGCCAGTCAGTCATTAGGTCTTATCCTTATTTGGAAGCCATCCTAAAATGTAACACTACCATATCCTGTAAGATATAGAGTGATTCTAAATCTAAATATTAAAATGAATAACAAATATTTCAAGCACATTATAACAACTTTGCAAATTTCTCTGATAATTAACAAATTGATGCCAAGAAAGCTATTTTTTAGACATTTCTTTACAACAATCAAATCCCAGTTTATTACCTTATTCCTATTAAAGAGTGTCATCATACATAGCTGAAACCAGTCTCCTCTATGTGTTGCATGACAATCTTCACATGATCGCCAAGGAAAACTGGAGACAGCATTACTTCTAAGGCACAACACCATCTTTTGTCTCTCTAAGAAAACAATAATCTTTCTTTAGGTTTATTTTAAGAATTATGTGTCACCAACCTGGAAATATTATATCAGAATACCTCAATATGGACTCAAAGATCTGCAGTTTAACAAGTCCCTTTTGACTTTTCTACCAAACCATGGAGAACTAACTTATCTTTTCTGTTGGTTCCCACTACATTTTATATGTGCAATTACTTGTTTATTTTTTTGGATTCCCTAGTAGACTGAAATATTTGAGAGGAAAGATATTATGTTTTATTAATTTATGCACACTTGAAATACAGCAAATACTGTATGATGCAAACTATGTATATTGAAAGAATGAATTTAGACAAATATTAATGTTTAAAACATAACCAGAAATTTGATGATAACAGTAATAAAATACTACAAAAGTGACAATAAGAATGGTATATAAATAATATCTTAAGCAAAAAAACCATTATATTTTATTAGAAAAATCTATGTTGAGAGAATAGCAAGAAATATGCCTGGAATAATGGGTAGTCTTGGTAAGATCAGAGGAGGTTTGAATATAAGTTTGAAGAATTTTAAATATAATCTATACAGAAAAAACTATTTATTGATGGAAAAATATTAAAAATGAATATATTATCATTTAAAAATATCTATAATAGCAAAATGTATCTAGTGTGGTAATGTAGGATCGATTATATAGTAAAGAAAGCAGAAACCACTGTAGTATGAGTAAAGGGATGGCAGAATATTGGTGTTACCAACTCTGGTGTTGTTTATTTCACATGCAGATTAATATTGAGAGAAAAATATTTATTTATAGACTATAATGTACAAAATATAAACATATCTTAAAGAGCTAAGTCAAACACAGAAATAAAGGATTTAACAATTACTTTTAAATTAAAATTTATGGTTTTTTGTTTGAAACCCTCTGTAATTTTATAATACATCATGATGACATCTGTATTATGGCTAGAAAATTTCATTATGGTATCTTTCCTAAATTTGGGGGGACAAGAACACATGTCATCAAATAACTTCAAATAAAACACATAAAGAATAAAGATACTAATTAATTTGCAATCTTAAAAGAAGGAAGCATAAAGGGCTATTGAAGAGTTAGAAATACTTTTAAATAATATTTAAATCAAGTTTTATCTATCTATCTATCTATCTATCTATATATATATATATATATATATGCTAATTATGAAACTCTTGCAAATTTTGGTTTTTAGGGGATTCTGGGGATCAAACCCAGGGCCTTGTGCATGCTAGCAAGTAGACTACCACTGAGCCATAACCCCAGACCCAACAATGCAAAATGTTTACTTTCTATAAGAAAGAAAGATAATCACCTATAGTCTTGAGAAGTTGGTAGTGGAGTAAATTATAAGGGTTTTATTTACCTTTGTTAGATTGAGAAATTTTAATATGTTGTTATCATATATTCTGGGGTTAATTAGAGTACTTTAAGAAGGAGCAGAGCGGATATCTGTTTTGTTTAAATACTAAGAGTTTAAAAAAATGGATAGCTAAACCTATCAAAGAATTTACAGCTCATGAAAAGACTAAATAAGTAATTTTTTGAAAAAAAAGATAAGTGGTATAACATTCTGCTATTTTGCATGGGAACAGATGGTTACAAAGGTAAAATGATGAGTCTTGATGAGGAAAATATATTTTTAGATGAAAGGAATGGAGATACTTTTATAGCATTGAGTTTACTTTATTAAAATGAGCAAAATAGTAATTATATGACAACAAAATAAGTGATGTAACAGGAAATGTTCAGTTAGAATTACTTTAAAATCATTTGGATCTGGAGAAAGCATTATGACTTGAAATGTTGGATGTGGAACAGATTCAAATGTTGCTCCACTTAATTGACCTAACTGGAATGAATCTAGCATTTAGGTCAGAGAGGTTTAGAGGCCAAGGAATTAATGACACAGTATCACTTATAAGTTTTAAGAAATTGTAATACCTGTTGGCAACTATTCTCTTATCTTTTTCACCTATTTTGATATGCAGAATTTTCATCAGAGAAGAAAATAATCTTAAATATCACATATGCAGTCAATCAAGGGGAACCCAGAAGAAAAGAGCCTGAGAAATCAATAACTTCCTCTCCTCCCTTCTACATATTTCCTTCTGGGAGACCTCATTCACTGGATTCAAGCAATTGGCAATGGACAATGAGTTGTATTAACAGTGTCTATATGGACAAGACTTGTGGGAACAAGAGAGTTCAACAGAGAATGGTGAATAATGAAACCAGAGGAAAAAGTTCAAGATAGCCAGTACCCCTTACCCAGTACCTCAGCAGCTATCAACAAATGTGTCCTAGGGATACACAGTAACCCTGTCTTCTGCCTTGTGCACCACTGCTGTCTTAGTTCCATTCTGTCACAACTGCCTTACATTCCATAGTAGGTACTCATTGCCAGAGACTTCTTCAGTGCTTTATTGTAGGAGGTGTAGCGACTAGTGCATGAAGTACTGCATACCTGGCATACACTAAGGGCGTCTGAGTGGCAAACCACTCCCCTGCAACTAGGCGTGTGAGTGGCGAACAGCTTACCCCATAGGCACAGCCCTGGGTGTGAGGCCGTGTGTTGCAGTCCCTGTGCTTGCTCCATGGCCCACTCCTCTATTGGTCGCTGCAGGGACAGTTGGCCAGCAATTGTATTGGTGGCTGCTTGTAATCAGCTTAGCTACTGCCTGAATATATATTCATGGTAACTGTACAATCAAATTAGGCCTGCTTCCTGCTTGGTCTCCAGAGGTCTTGATTAGAGACTCCGTAGCCAGTCTCCTCTACCCTGTTCCGTGGACCTCCTTACTGGACAAGAGAGTGCCCACACACAGAGCAACATCCAGTGAGTATAACAAAAATTACTAATAAAATTCCTCTCTTTTGCAGTCCTGGGGATTCAGTTTGCCACCATCATTCTCTACTCCTATTGCATTCCACATTCCTATTGTTCCATGTCTAGACCTACCCAGTGACTAATATTCTTTCTGCACTTTCACTGGGTCTGCTCATTCGACTGGAGTATTATTATGTGGCTGCCACTGCTGTTGGGCTCTTAGTTCAGTCCCCTAATTCCACTACTGCAAAACTTGGTCCCTACATGGTGAATCTGCTTCTGATGTTTAACATTCTTATTTATTTACCCCCCTCTATGGCCTTTAATTTACTTATCTTGAACAATAATCACATCCAACCAAATTCTTTCTTGCATCACTGTCACTATTGCCCAATATTGAACTCAGTACAGCTGGCCCTGTAAGGTTAGTGTCTATAACATTTTCTTCTGTTTCACACATTCAATTTAACGTGGAATATTAAATATCAAGGGCTTATATAATATCTATGCTATGCTATAATGTGAATTGCAAACAAGATAAACATCTTTCTTGTCCTTTCAGATATTATAGTCTAGTTGGTAACAGAGATAAGCATACATTCAAAAAAACATGATCAGTGCTAAAGTAAAAGGAATTGAAAATATAGCAAATAAAAGAAGCACAGTAGGATACAATTCAGATATAGAAAATCAAAATATTTTTCTAATAATAATTTTTTTTTATTTCTTAAGTTGTGTACCTTATGGGGCTGGGGATGTGGCTCAAGCGGTAGTGCGCTTGCCTGGCATGCGTGCGGCCCGGGTTCGATCCTCAGCACCACATACAAACAAAGATGTTGTGTCTGCCGATAAGTAAAAAATAAATATTAAAAAATTCTCTCTCTCTCTCTCTCTCTCTCTCTCTCTATCTATCTATCTATCTCCCTATCTCACTCTCTCTTAAAAAAAAAAAAGTTGTGTACCTTAGTTAAAAATTTATAAGGTAAAAAGGAAAATAGAAAAATCTGTGTGAATAATTGACAGTCAGGGGTATAGTCCTGTTAGGGGCAATCCTAGCCTTAGAAAAATTATGACACTTTGGAGAAATGGAAATCATTTGAATGATGTAAGAACCTGGACCTTCACTGTGTCATGAAACAATAGGAGAATTCATTAGTAGGAGTCAGAAATGATTAATGAAACTTAGATTTGGCAAGTTCTTAAAATCCATATTATGGTGTGTAGAACTATCCTAAGTGTTGAGATTCTCAGGGTTTTATTCAGTAGATGACAATATCATATATGCATGGTATAGTAATTCTTTGCCACCTAAGGTAGATAGGGAGTACAAGTCAGAAGAGAGAAAATGAAAATAATTTCCAAGTACAGTAACAAACAGAGATCCAAGCCCATTATAATGTCACAAGAGAGGTGACGGAGATAAGTAGATGTATTTGGGTTCAGGGAGGCTGAAGCAAGTGTAATTTTCAGGATAGAATAATGGAAAGAGAGAGAGATATACAATGAGGGACTATGAGAAATCTACATAGGAATCTCCTAGGGATTAAATCTGAATAGTTGTAATTTCATAACATGAAACTCGATGAGGCTTAAGAAAGAACTTTGTAAGATAAAAGTAGAGAGAAGATTTTTTAGAATTCATGCAAGCCTAGAAGACATTTGTGGTCTAAGGTTTCAATGAACACTCAGGATATTTATTAGATGGTCAATGTGATTTATGTTTTAAAAATAGAGGTAAAGTAATCTTATAATAAAGCTAAGCAAGCCTTGAAAAATCATAGCTTTAAAATACTAAAAGATCAAGCAGGTGTACATGTAATTTAGCTGTCTTTATTTTTAAAGTCAACAATGATATTTAGATCATGAATAATGTAATATTTATAATTTTTACTATCCCATCAATATACTATATATATACAAAAAAGGAAATAGAAATCATAACTTTAAGAAAAATCAGTAAAGAAATGTAGTCAGAAATGATGGAGATGATAGAATCATCAAAAACTGGCTTTTAAAGACCTACTAAAGTATGCTAGAAAATATAAAGGAAACATGAAAACTGAGAAGAGAGATGAAACAGGGAAAAAAGAACAAGTGGAACTTGGTGAACATTTTGAAAAAAAAAATTAGTAAAATTGAAAACATGGCAATAGAAGCTATTGAAAATAGAGACCAAAATAACCCCAGAGTCCAAGTGACCTGGAGAAAACTTCAAAGATCTAATAAATATGTAATGGAGCACAAAAGTAAAAGTAACGAGAAAATATCTGAGGAAGTAATAATCAAAAGGTTTCCAAATTCATAAGAACCATAAATCTTTAGTACCAAGAAAAGAAAAACAGAAAGAAAATTCTGAGTAAAATAAACACAAAACCCTAACAAACATCAAAATAAAATCACTGAAAATCACTAATAAGAAGAAAATATTTAAGCTAGTCAAGTTGGCTTGAAAAAGAAGGGTAAGAAATAAAAATATCTTTAAAAAAAACAGAATTATTTTTTGTTTTCTTTTTGTGAAAATCAAAGTTGTGAAAATTTATCACAACCACACTGAAACTACAAGAAATATTAAGGGAAATTTTAAGAACTGGAACAAATAAAAATCAAATAGAAACAGGAATCTACATAAAGAATAAAGAACAAAATAAAAGATAGAAGACGGTAGATTGGCATAAGGCAGCATTTCTCTTGTCTGGGCTACCAGAATTCAAGCAGTGGGAATTCTAAGTCTCCCCAAGGCTTTGAGTGAAAATTCCTGAGACTGCAGAGGCAGTCTGCTCTAGCAAAAACAGACTGTTTGACTTCATTTGATATTAACAAAATTTCTCCACTGGAGTTTATCAATCCAGGAGCCATCTTGGGACTTGTAGCAAGGTGGAGCGTACGGAAGCTGGAAACCCAGATCTGTAAGTTTACAGCTAGGTCTGTGTAATCCTGTCTGAGCTTATCTGAGCCTAGCTAACCTGTGGAAAGTCAGGAAATGGGAGCATTTTACCCAGGTGGAAAGCAGGTTAGAGAGAGATGTGGCCAGCTATAGTGGTCTGAAGGTTGAAAGAGAAGGTATGAGGGCATTTTGCTTTCAGCTGCCTGTCTAGGCTGTCTGGCATCCACTGGTTCCAGGGGGCCCATGCTAGCCAGCACACTCTGGTCCCCACACCAGCCTGATACTTGACTCTCTCCCCAGTCCCATCTGGCTTCCACCAGTCCCTGGGATCCACTGGATCTGGCGCCAGTTCAACGCCCAACAGGGCCCTCCATCTCCCTGTCCCCAGTCTCCCAACCCACAGTCCTTGGCCTGGACCACTGCTCCAGCTGCCCTGACTAGGCCTAGAACATCCCATCACCTGGCTTTGACCCACCCCATGCAGAACAAAAGACATAGACAACACCTATTGTTTGATTTTACACTATACATAATATGTGATTATGTACTGATTGTACTGATGGGAATTGCTATCCCCACATATTGTACCAATTAATGCTGGATATTAAGACAGGAACTAAGGACTTAGTCTATACTGCTATATTATTTGCATACATTGTTGCTATAATTGGGCTTCCTCTCCTCAATCTAAAAGGTATTATTAACATACGGGGACATTGTAAATTAATAAAATAGAAATGCCACAGCGTAGATCCATCCAGATAAATGGGTAGACACACAAACAATATGAAAAAGCAAGGGAACAAACCATTCCAAATAACCCAAACTATCTCTACAGTAGACTCATTGATACCACAGTGGAGGAAATATCAGAGATAGAATTCAGAAAATTCGTGGTTAAACTGTTCTATGAGGTAAAAGATAACATAAGAAATGAAATCAGGGAACAAATGCAAGAAACAAAAGATCATTTCAACAAGACAGAGATCCTAAAGAAGAATCAGTCAGAAATCCTTGAAATAAAGAAATCAGTAAACCAAATTAAAAATTAATTGGAAAGCATCATAAATAGATTAGACCACATGAAAGAGAGAGTTTCAGGCAATGAAGATAAAATATATAATCTAGAAAATAAAGCTAACCATGGTGAAAAGAAGTTAAGAGGCTATGAACAGAACTTCCAAGAATTATGCAATAAATTGAAAAGATCAAACTTAAGACATTGGGATAGATGAAGGCTCAGAGATGCAAAGGAACGCACAAACTTTTCAATGAAATAATTTCAGAAATTTCCCAACCCTTAAAAATGAGATGGAAAAACAAATACAGGAGGCTTATAGGACCCCAAATATATAAAAGCCAACAGACCTGGACCAAGGCACATTTTTTATGAAAATGCCTAACATACAGAATAAGGATAGAATTTTAAAAGGTGCCAAAGAAAAGCAATAGGTAATATTCAGAAGGAAACAAATCCAGATTTCAGCTTATTTATCAACCCAGACTCTCAATGATAGAAGGTCTTAGAATAATACATACCAAGATCTGAAAGAAAATGGATGCCAGCCAAGAATAATATACCCAGCAAAATTAAGCTTCAGAATTGATGATTAAATAAAATCTTCCAAAATAAACAAAAGTTCAAAAAAATTCACAACTAGAAAGCTTACTCTATATACTTGATAAAATATTTCAAGAAGAAAAATGAAAAAAAAAGAGGAAAACCAGAAAAGGGAGGAAGGACACTAGGAGAATAGTCAATCAAAGAAGAAATTAATTCAAAATAAAAACCAGAAATAAATCAAAATGACAAGGAAGAAAAATCATTTCTATGGGCTGGAGATGTGGCTCAAGCGGTAACGCACTCGCTTGGCATGCACAGGGTGCTGGGTTCGATCCTTAGCACCACGTAAAATAAAGATGTTGTGTCCACCGAAAACTGAAAAATAAATATTAAAAAATTCTCTCTCTCTCTCTCTCTCTCTCTCTCTCTCTTAAAAAAATCATTTCTAAATAATAATACTGAATGTAAATAACCTAAATTCACCAAACAAAAAACAGGTAGATTGGATTAAAAAAATAAGACCCAACAGTATGCTGTCTCTAAGAGATTTACCTCATAAGC